ATTAGTTTATAGATTGTTCAATTTTATTCAATTAAAAATGCAAAAGAATAACTTTATACTTTTTCAGCTTTTCACTTTTGTTATTTGAACTATAACTACAACATTTTGTACTTCTCTAAATGTAAGAAATGCATTTAGTTCCTCAACATAATTTCCAAAAAAAGAACATTCGATACGATTACTATTGATAACATCAAATGAATATAGGAGTATAAGATATTCTATTCACATATTAAATACTACATGCTACATATTATAGATTTAACAAAGTTTACCCATCAGTCTCTAGACATATGACATTCATCTTTATTTTGGTACCATTTTTTTCATGCTTTGTCTTCGTACCAAAACCAGTGAGCAAACCCATCACATCTACCAAAAATTGATATTATTAGTACTAATTTAAAGTATTTCATAAATTCACTTGTCTATCACTACTTTTTGATAAAATAATCAATCACAATTGCAAAAATACTTACCTACTAAGTAGTCAAAATCCTAATAATCACTCTTAATCCAACTAATAGGAATAAATTGGAAAATATTTGAGGATACTACACCATATTGTCCAACATTATGACCTTCGTACCATATTGGAAATTAATCTTGTAGGCATGATTCTAGGTCTTAAAAGAACCTTTATTTAAAGACAATTCAAAGCATTGAATGAAGTATACAGATCCTTCTTTTATGTCTTTCTGGAACTTGTAGATTAGTGTCTTTTGGACAGAGGCATGTATTTTGCCTTCTACATAAAAAAATGAAATCATATATTCAAGAAGTTATAATAATTGCATATAGTAAAGTGAGCTAATGTAAACTTTACTTTACAATCCACCAAAACCAACTCCATAAAGGAAGGGATAGCTTGCTTATTGAAATCAGAGACTATCCACGCGCAAATTATCCTTATCCTAATTTTCCAATTTCCCTTATCAAGACACAACTTAGAAATTGTGTTTAACTGGTTGGCCATGATTTCAAATGACAGAATGTTGTTTGCACAACTCACCTCAGGAGAACACTGTTTATATAGCCCAGAAAGTAGGTTAGTAGAAAAGCCATGCATTCAAAAATTATAGTAAAAAATCTACGGAATTCAAATTTGAAATGTGAGAATTGAAATATAGCAAACGAATTAATAAATAAAGCTTACTGTCATAAACATAAACTATACTACGTCCTCGATAGCACAAAACATTCCTATTTTCGTGTTTATAAAAACCCTAATGAGACAGCACAAACATTCAAATTTCAAAATAAAAAATGATTCATTTTGAAATATGAACTTTGCAACAAAAGATGAAACTTACTTATTCAAGCTTTTTGTCATACACATGCAAGCTACAACCTCGTTGAAACCCTAAACAATTGCATTTCTGCTATTTATTCAAATCCTGATGACAAAACCAAAATATGGAGACAATCGCAAAGCTATAAAATTCTCAACGAGAGAAAAGTAGAGAAAGCATAATATTTCTTCTTCCATACTTAAATGGTTTACGTGCAGTACAGGAAGATCTTGCACTACTAGAATATTGTAATTTTCCTGCAAATTTTTCTACAAAAAAATATTTGTAAAATTTTTTTGCGAATTTTCTTGCAATAATAATTTTACAAAAGTTTTTTACAATTTTATTTGCAAAAAAGAATTTGCAGATATTTCTTACAAATTTTTTTGTAAAAAATAATCTACAAGAAATTGTTACAAATTTTCCTACAATTTTAATAATCATGGAAATTTTTTTTTTCATGATAAAAATTTGCAGAAAATGTTGTAAGAATTTTATTTTGTTTCTTGCAGATTTTCTTATAAAAATAAATTTGCAAGTAATGTTTATTAGATGTTAGAAAAATTTTGCAGGTAACTTTTCCTATGGATTTTTCTGCCAATTTTAATCCGCAGAAAAATTTTAATTTTTTTTAATTTATAAGTTTAATAATTAAAAGATTTTTAATTAAAAAAAGCACCTCTGCAGCAACAGTACTAAGAGAGTACAAGAAATCTTGAGAAGTGCAAATCCAGCAAGCAAACATTAAATGCTAAGTCAGAAGCATTAAATGTCACATTTCATGAAGATTGTACAAATCAGATGAGAGAATCAGATGATAAGCAATCAAGCATAAGGACGAAGTCTGTCGTTACCAAAATGAGACATCAAGGTATCAGACAAAGACTACAAGGAAATCAAGCATCAAGAGATAAATAGTTGGAACACAAACATGTACCAGATGATCACAAAATATTCAAACAAAGCTATGTCAAGTGGAACTACTCTAAAGTACAAATCAGACGAGGGATGTGTCCAAGGCCTGAAGAAAGTCAATCATACATCAGACGAAAGTCAACACAGACTGAGAGACACTCCAGAAGGAAACAATATTTGTCCATTCACTTTGTGAATCAGATCAAAGAAAAATCAAAGCACTAAATTCAGATGCTGAAGTACAAGTCAACCTTGAAGTGCATAGAACCATCAAACGAAGACGAAGACTGGGACGCAAGCAAACAAGAAATCACGTCTCAAGAAACAAGCAAAGGTATAATTTATAAAAATCCCAAAGCACTCACGTAAAATGCATACGAAGAAATAATGAGAAGTACGCAAAAGCAGAGCATGCATGTGTCAGAAAAAGTACATTACTTTTTCAGAAAAGGACAACGGCTATATTTCTGCAAGACCAGAAAAAGACAAATAATTTCTTGATCTTAGATAAAGTCAAACACTGCTGCAAAAATACTGAGAAAAATACACGCATTTTCTATAAATAGGAAGCAACATTTAATGCAAAGAAAAATGCATTAAATGAATATATCAAACTAGTTGTGAACAAATATATCTGCTTCAACGAACAAATGCAACGGGAAAATTCTACAGGCCTATAAATATGCAATGTCATCAAACCTGAAGTGGCTGACGAAGAAGCAATAAAAGAATAATCATAACCTTTGCCCAAGGGCTAATTGATTAGAAAAAGAAGAGTGATGTCAATCCCACGAAACAAAGAGATCAGAGATGATACTCATAGTCATATGTACAATGTAATGTTGTAATTTTATCTCTATAAACTAAGGTGTTCAAAATGTTAGTTATGAACAAAACCTTAGTAAGTGTTGTAAACCTACATATCCTCTTCATAAGAGTAACTCAAACACTCAAACACGAGTCTCTGTAAAACTAAGGTAGCAAACCTTAGTGAGTGTAGGAAATTTACCAATCCTCTCTATGAGAGTAACCCAATACACTCGAACCCGATTATACATTTATTAGTTGTAAATCCTGAAAAGGCTAGGAAAAGAATACTTGTAAAGCCCGGAGGGGCTTGTCAAAGAATAATCACTGCTAGCCAGAAGTGGTTGATAAGAAAATACTAGCGTTGGTGAGTGAAGCCGACGGACCAGGAGTGGTTAAGAATACTTGGAGAACCAGAAGTGGTTTGAGAATACTAGCGTTGGTGAGTGAAGTCGACGGGCTAGAAGTGGTCGAGAATACTTGAACCAGAAGTGGTTGAGATACTAGCGTTGGTGAGTGAAGCCGACGGCCCAGGAGTGGTCGAGAATACTTGAATTAGAAGTGGTTGAGAATACTAGCGCTGGTGAGTGAAGCCGACGGGCCAGGAGTGGTTGAGAATACTTGGGCCAAGAGTGGTCGAGAATAGTCAAGGCCAAGAGTGGTCGAGAATACTCAGGTCCTGGAGTGGACGATAATACTCTATGTACTTCATTTTATATCTAGTGGAACCCTTCAAGATTGAAGGAGACTGGACATAGCTCAGATGAGCGAACCAGTATAAAACAATTGCATTCCTCTACTTACTTAGACGCAAATCTTCCTTATTGATGAAACTTTTGTGAAAAACTTCGTTCAACGTTTATGTATCTTTAAAACAACTTTTAGACGAAGACACTAACTTTGCTTAACAAACTTATTACACTAAAAGTCTCATCTGTCACTTATACTTAAACGAAACTATTTTGAAAAGGAAAATATCAGAACTTCAATTAATATCTTTATAGAACATCTTCCCTAGTGGACGATAAATCCTTCAGACGCATTGATAGTAAGTTAAGCAAACTCTAGTTAATCGTCTGATATTCAAAAGTGTAGTGGACGAAGAGCACTACTGTTGCGAAAACATTTTTAAAATACCTTTGTTCGCACACACACATATTCAACCGCCCCTCGCCCCATTTCTATGTGTTTTTCGCTAACTTCACACTTTTTACTTGTTCTTGATTTAGCATTGATTGATACTTGTTTTGGCCTTTCCGTCTTATGCTTGATCATTTTTCTTCTTGTGTTAGGCTTGGCTTTGTTGAGTTTTCCATCTGATGCTTGAAGCTTTTACCCTTTATCTTGATTCTAGTGTAGGAAGTGGCACACGCACATACTCTATTCTTTAACCTGCTTGTACTTATGTTTTTCTGAAACACTAACGTAGTTGGTAGAAATAACAGCATGTATTATATTTGTCTCATTCAAAACCTTGCTGGGAATTGTTTCGTCTTACTTAACATGAATACTAATGAAGCTTTTTCTCTTTGATCTATTAAGGAATATAAAAAAAATGATAAAAATACCATACATATTTAATGTGATATTTAAAATATTCATCTAAGACGGACATATGTTCAGTTCGATAAACTATCATGCGTAGTCATATGTTGTATCATCTTAGTATGCATTTTGTGTTATCGTCTTAACATTTGGTTCTTTATGCTTTGCAAAAATGTTATGTTTGTTATAATTTAAACATAACTTTTAAGAAGTCGTAATTTGCCATTTGCCCTTTGATCTAATATGCCCTTTGATCGTATAGGGACTAATCGTGAAAATCTTGAGTTTTTTGTAGATTCTCCATTTGAGTTTGAAGAGTGTCTAGTTTGGTTGTAATAGCCTTTAAAGTCTCTTCCATCTCTCTTTTATGTGGTTTAAGAGGCACATGGGAGATAATGAAAGTACCAAGTTGTTTGGTGGAAAGTAAGAAAAAGACTAAAATTGAATATAAGAAAAGAAATACTTCCTTCATTGATAATTGTCTCAAGGAAGTACAATCCCTTTCTAAAATAAAGAACCTTTAATGGCTCCAAAAAGAAAACCATCCACGTGGTAATTTAAAAAACAAAATACATTACATACAGTAGTTGAGACATTGGAGGAATGGATGTGCGCCTGGCTTTGGATCTAGTAGTGGTGTGATTAGTAGTGAAATTTGGGTTACTAACACAATTTATCTTCTTTCACCAGATAGTATATAGTCAAACATACATGCATTACAAGATGCTTAAAGGATAGTTTTCAATCCATGTACAAGATATGATTGATATTACAAAAGAACAATCTAATGCAAAACACTAAACCAAGCTAGTGAGGATGAAAATAGTAGATATGCATAGCCTTACCCCTCAAGCAATGAGACAATTTCCAAGATTTGAATCCTCGACCTTTGGGGTAAAATATATGAATAACATTATAGTTGATGCAAAACAATGTGTGCCCCGTGTTTTGGCTGCAAAGTGAGAATAATCGTTGGAGCATGAGCATAGGATGGAGAAAGCTCAAATGAGAAATTTTGCAGAAGCAATGATAACCCTATCTTGACTTCCAATAAGGCAAAGTTTTGGCCAATACATATTCTAGGACCCCATCCAAATGGGAAAAATGAAACTTGGCCTTTTGTGACCTTAGCAATTCCTTCAGAGAACCTTTCAGGTTTGAACTCCTTGGCATCATCACCCCAGATGTCAGCATCAAGGTGAATCAAAAATATTGGCATGGTAATGTTTACTCCTGCAGGTAGTGATAGGTTTTCAAGTTTCATGTCCTTTTGAAGAGTGCGACTAAAGAAAATTGCTGGAGGGTATAACCTTAGAACCTCATATAGAATCATAGTAACCTATTGAAGAAACATTATGGCAGATGTTAGCACAAAATATATGTTTAATAAAAAATCATGGTTTAAATACCTTTTTAATTTTTATAATTTCATGAACTTTATCTTTTAGTCTAAATAGTTAAAAATATTTTATTTTAATCTTTTCATATTTTTTCATTTTTGTGTAGTCTCTGTCATCTATTACTATAGAATATGGAGACTAAAGTAAAATTTATGAAATTATAAACTAAAAGAAAATAAAAATGGTAATTATAGAAACTAAAAGAAAATATCGTTAATTATAAAGATTAAAATATCAAGTTTATAAAACTTTATAGACCAAAATGATATTTAAACCAAAAATCATCATCAAATGAAAGTACGGGATACATACAATTTTAAGCTGACTTAACCCTTCAAAATTTGGATTTTGATTTCCAAATACTTGAAGAACCTCTTGCCTTGCTTTTGCTTGCCATTCAGGAAACCTACCCAATAAGATCATTGTCCAAACCAGCAGAGTTGAAGTGGTCTCTTGCCCTGCCAAGTAGAATGTTTTGCATTCCTCAATAACCTCTTGTTTGGTCATTCCAACACTCCTACTGTTTCCATGTCCCTTGATTTCCTTGCGATTTGATTCCAAAAGTATGCTTAATAAATCTGCATCGGAGGTTTCACCATTCTCCAAGGCTTTCTCTCGTTTTTTGATGATACCCTCAATTGAATCATGCATGTCTCTTTCAATTGCGTTCATCTTCTTGTTGGTAGATGTTGGTAGATTCCTAGAAACATACACGTTAAATATGAGGGAAGGGAACGGACTTGCTTATGAGTCTTACAATTGTTACTAACTAAACTTAGATAGTTCAATACTCTATAACAAGTTGAAAATCCGTAGCAGCTCTTCTATAAGTCATTTGGTATGCCATAT